ACTAATCATTTTCTGGAGTAGGGAGTACTCCACCGTTTCTAGCAAACTAAAACAAAAATGAGGAAAGGACACATTAGGGCAAATGGCAACATTCAGACAAAACAATGGGCAAAACAAAGACACGAGTGAAGGCGGTGACGTCAAAGGGCCATGAAGAAACATTACTGAGCCCCTAGCAAAATCCGATAAAGGTGTTGTTTATCCAGGAATGTCCTTAGGAGCGTTCAGCTTTGCAACTCCATGGATACAGGAGGGGGTGAGGAGGGAAGAGTGTTGTGTTTACATATCTTCAAGGAGATTAGAAATATGCAGCCCTCCCACAGCCACACGGGGAAAGCCAATTCAGAAACAGAATGTCTTATGTCGGGAAGATTATAAATTTCAATCTTCCCTAAAGTCTCTCCGATACATCTAAGCTCCCAATCGTCCAAATTAGTTTGGTCATTCCATTGAACCGAAACTAGCAACTTCTCCAAAATCAATTCCAACTCGTTAGTGAGTTTTAGAGTCCTCGTCTCTGTCCACACCAACAGTCTGAGTGTTTGCCAGTTCGGCCAAGTCCGTCACAAATTTGTTGATAACCCAGGAATCCACAAGCTCCAAACAGCAGAAATCCTGTTATCATGAATAAATCCAGGGTGAATCCTGCCGGATGTGTCCCCACAGGACAAGAGGGTCTCCTGTGCCCAGACTTCTCATCAAAAATTTGATCAATTGGATCGTTTGACCAGATCCATAATTTGTAGATTTGGATGATGTGCAAAGAAAGGCCCCAAAAATATAGAGAAGGCCAGGACAAAAACAGAGCAAGCAGGGCAGGCATGGGCAGGGAGGGAGCAGAGGAAAAAAGTGTCTGCCTTCATCGAGAGCAAGAGAGAAAAAGGAAAGAATAGAAAAAAAAGTATTTTCTTGTATTTATTTTTTTTATATTTATTGATAAAGGACTTGATAAATCTGCCATTGTCAAATATTAAACTACATATTTTTCTTACTCTTTTCTGAAAAAAAAATTATTACAGTATATGTCAAGAGTATATGTCACTCTTTGCTATAGACAGCAGAGTGAAAAAATTCTAAGAGATTTTTATTTCATTACATAAGCTGTATTAATTCTCGAACACTTCAGATTGCGATATTTAAATACACAAAAAAATGAAAGAATGAAAAAAATGAAAGAATGCAATAAAACACAAATATTATATATAAATATATATATTTATATATATATTTGGGAACACTGGCCTTCAGTCTGCTGGTCAAACTGGGAGAAGTCCAGTGAGGCTAAAGGATCAAAAAGAAATGATCCAAAAGTGTAATAGAAAATACATATCTGATTCCTTAACATTCAGAAAAAAGACATTTTCAGCATTTTGGGGCTCTGACTCAAAATTAGTTTTGCCTGAGTTTAAGAGCTCATAGCATCTTTAACTATAAATATGCTACGAGCTCAGCTTCGACATTGTGAAGCTGAGCCGTGAAACAGAAGAACAGCAGCTCCAGCTCTGATCCTGACTGATCTTTCCTCACAAAATTCCCTGGTCTTTAATGCACTTCTCCTCCAACAGCGGTTTCTCATCAGCTCTCTCTCATTAGAAAACACTGTATGAAAACGTTAGCTATGCTAACAATCAATGGTTACTTCGGGCTAATTTAGCTACATAGGAAATATTTCTCTGTTGTTTAGAAGCTAGTTTCTGGCTGCAAAGTCAAGTAATTCTGCTCTTTAAAGAGCAGAAGAGTACAATACAAACTGGAATGAATCCAGTTTGTATTGTATAACGGTTGACAAGCCCGCGCAGCACATGGGAACTCTGATCGCTCTACCGCCACATACAAGATGGCAGCGACGTAACGTCAATGAGGCGTCTACGTATTTATGTCTATCAATGGCCCTACAAAGCAGCAAAGATTGGATTTTCAACTAGAACTCTTGTTGCTGTCTGCTGTTGCTGAAACCTTTTATCCTTTGCTCCGTGTGTGTCGGGTTAATGACGCGCTGCTGTGAACTGAACTGGTGAATCTGTGGGAGAAAGGCCTGTAGGTCTACATAATTTGAATAATCTGCGTTATGTAATATTAACGTGTTAAAATTGTCAGATTTAACACGTTAATGCATGTTAATGCATGCATATCTGCTTCTTGAAAGTAACACTCCAGGTATGTTTTTGATGAGATTCTAACATTATAACATGATCTAAAGCTCAAAAAAGTCAATTTTACATAATACTGCCCCCTTAAAACATGTTTTTTGGTCTGTGATATTGTAATGTTCCAAAACATTACATTTATTTTTTCTTTACCTATGCTATAATCATTAAAATTCTAAAACATAAAACTTTGAAATATTTGCTCTATAAAAGTTCTGAGATGACTTGCAAAAAACTTTTCCAGATGTACTAGTATTTTGTTTTGCTGTTGACAGATATTACAAATGATCACTTAAATCTATGTGTTCACAGGACGACAAAGCTGCTGTTTTTCAACAAACAGGAGGAAGACATACTGTGGCGCTGCCAACTGGATGATCTGGCAGCTAATGATGAACGGTAAAACAAAGTGGTGATATAAAATGTTCTCTTTCTGGAGAACACCTGGGTTGGTTGTTGTGGGAAATGAGAAAAATAATCTGTAAAAGTTTCAGTTGGTTTTGTTTTGACATGGAGTCAATATACTCTCCAAACTGTAATCTGACATAGTTTTGGAACAGTGATTGTCTTTGTTACTAAGCTAGAAAGCTGCTATTTTCCCTTGTTCCCCTGCTCTCTTCAGACAGTCATGGTGTTGTGCGCTGTCAGGTTTCAGGTGGAGTACATCCTGTCTGAGCCCTCTGCCAGCTGGACCGGCAGGAAGGGTCGGGTGGATGAGACCCTGCTGAACGACCTTCTTCTCAGGCCACATGGGTCAAAATGCTACGTTTGTGTGTGTGGGCCTTCTGCCTTCACAGAGCAAACATTAGGGTATGGAATATTAACCATTATGATAAATAATAATAGTTCCTCAGTTTTATCCAAATAACTAAAGTCACTTTGGCTGTTTCTTGTTTTTTAGTATTAAACTATTTCATACGTTTTAAATTTTTATATAAAAAATTATTTTATGTACATCATCAACATTTTTGCATGTGCACGAGCTGCTTAGATCTCAACCACACCTCTTTGGTTCTGCTATTCCAGCTGAATGCTCTTAAAACAGTATTGTTTTAAGAGCAATTCAGCTCTGATCAGACTGATCTGAAAAGGAAGATTTGTTGCATAACTATTTCTGCACTATGATTTGAAAGGAGTCTTTTTAAACACAAAGTGACAGTATCCTTTGAAACCACCAATCTTAACATTTTGAGTTTATTATCAAATAATCAGAATGGAGATTTCCTTATAGACATTCTTATTGAGTGTGATACACTTTGTGTAGATCTTTGACTGTGGGAATCTGTGGAATGGAATATATTTCCATTGAAATATATTCATGTTTGTGGTTGTGACAAAATATGGAAAAGTTCAAGGACCATGAACTTTTGCAGGCCACTGTCAGCAAATAATATGCTGAAGAACATAATGTGTGCATCAATATTAAGCTGTGGTGTGCTTGCACTGAGGGGTTTTTGTCTTTGTTGGTTTCTCAGATTGTTGAAGCAACTTTGCTTCAGTGAGGAGGAATGCCACGCTTTCAAGGGCTGATGAGCCCTTCTACCTGAAGAGACGGAGGACAAAAAAACCTACTTTCATTTAAAGCTGTGTTAATAAAAAGAAAGCATATATTTCTATGCACCAAAGACACATGTCTGCAGCCACCACTCTATGCCTGGCCAGTGGAACCTGGACACTTCTCAGGGATGGACTGAAGGTTCCTGCAACATATGAAGAAAGAACAATTCCTCCACAGCTGCTGATTTTTAACCAGATCTTCAAGTTACTTTTTGTGTTTACTGGGGTTAGATGTTTTTTATGTCAAGTTTATTTTTGAAAAAGTGAGTATGCACCAGTGAGAAGCTGCTCAGTTTGTGCATTATAATAAAGTTATAAAACAGTTTGATCACCATAAAAGTAAAACTTTGTGTCAGCTACATTTGACACAAATTATTTATCAAAGTCAAATAAAATGGAGCTCTGGGTGACATCCTCCTTGAATAATCAAAGCTTTAGGTGACACACCATCAGCTAGAACTTTTAATCTAATAGTTTCAGAATAATTTGAAAGGTTTTATACTTATTCCAATATTTTTATACTTATTCCAATATTATTGGAATAATAATATTCCAATAATATGCTCATGCATGGCCGACCATGCATGAGCATGGTCGGCCATGTCCACCATCATTTAAAACTGGACCCTCCAACTATCAAATGATGGGCAAGGGGAGTTACAGCAAAGTGGGAAAAACTGCTTGATCTCAGCAATGAATGTTCAAATTGTACTGTTTGTAAT